AAATGGAAAAAGCCAGAAGAAAATATAAAGGAAAGCGCGTTAGTTGTCATAAAGGACGAAAATCTACCTCCCAATTCGTGCCGACTAGGCCGAATTACAAAAGTATACCATGGCTCTGATAGCTTCGTTCGTGTCGTGAGGGTATTTTCCGGGTAGATAACAGAATCAGTCTGAAGACCCCTATTCAGTCCATTTCGGAAACTATCAAAGGGAAATTTCGTGACCTGTTTTTTGCTGATCCGAAATTCTACGAATCCGCTGGTATCGATATTATTTTGGGGGTTGATGTATATCCTAAGGTCATGCGTGAGGGCATCTTTACAAAACCTGGTTTGCTAATGTTTCCACGTATATAAAACTTATTGGATCTAAGGTATGGTTTCCATTGGGTAAATGCTGCAATGGGGCCGGTGATGTTAACGTTAAAACTCCTATCTAGTAAAATTTACTAAACCGTTGTATCATCCCCACAAAATCCCACTTACTTTATAAACAAAAGCTGAAACTTATATTTTGCAGCATTATCTTGCCTCTCTTTCTAATAATTAACGCCTAACGTAGATGTCAAACCTTAAAATAAGTTTTAGATACGCATTTCCGTCTTTTTAAAAGGCTGATGCTTTCTCTTGATCTAAAGATTTCATCCAGCTTGGTAAGATTCCACGATAACCAATAAATAAATAAACATCTTTCTAATCCTGGAAAAAACAAATGTTTTATTTCTTTTCATATTGGACATCTCGTTGTATATTATTACGAGTGACTGAATTTAATAACAATTTTGCAGAACTCAGGGACTCCACAAAAATATATTCATATTTCCAACTATTTGCTCTTCATCCACCAGTTTTGACTTTGGAACTCGGCCGGGACCTTTAACCATATCAGATGTAATTACAATTTCCGTGTTAGCCTCCCCTTCCTCCAATATCGGTCCATCTATGTTATTCGATATACCGGGTGGGAAATGAGAGTCCATTAAGAGTTTTATTGTCTCCTCCATATCCTCCAGCCTCCTGCCCGTATCATCGACCATAGATTCCGGTTGGACATGAGTTTTGGATAGGAATTTTTTTATCTTCGATACGTCATTTACGCTGTCTACCTGTTCACAGAAAAGTTTCCAGGAGTCACGTTTGGCTTTACGAACAATTTTCTTATATTCACCAAGTTTACTACGATACTCATCCCAGTACACTGCGGTCTTACCAAGGTTTCAGATCTCCCCGGTTATCCTGAGCAGATCTTCGTTCTCGCAGAGGGCAGCTGTCCTCGAACGATTCAACAAGGCACTGGTGAGCATTTCACTTTGCCGTCTATGTCTTCTTTATTTCGACATTGACATAAACGGTTCTTTAGTAAGGAACCGAACATTGTCCAATTAGTTTTAGACTTATTGCGAAATTTTATCGGCTTTGGTGGCGGCCGTAGTATTTTGAATCTTATGTACCGATGGTCAGAAAAGAGTGCTCGTCAGAAACTCTCCAATCCTGAATTTCGTTTATAAGCTCTTCTGAACATATAGTTATACCTAATACTTCTTCTATGATTCTATTAACAAAGGTAGCTCGATGTGATCAGAGCGTTGGTAGCTGTCTCGCTCCGATAGAGGTTTATTTGGATAACCTCAATCATTGTCATCCATTTAAACTGTCTTCCAGCGAGTTAGTGATCACATCCCCGCTCTTTGGATTTGACTCCTCCGGGTAACCTGAAGTGGCACCTTCCCAATTTTGAATATGACAGCTTTAGAGGCGAAGTAAGCCCTACCTTTATTCTTGGCAAGACTAGCCATAGATTTCTGGTCGATACCTATTACAAATAAAGTTCCCTCAGTTTCTTCTTTCCTGTAACAGACATTCCATTTATCCACGGCCAGCTCAGCATTTTGTCCACCAAGAATTTCCAGTATACGTTCATTAGCCAGTTTACTGCCCCATCGTTTTATGTAGACAGTGGACTTTAAGAGCACCGAAGCTCGCTCTTCTTTGACAATCCCAGCTTAGCGCCGTCCCAGGGAGGAGTATCCCTCCTCCAAGTTCTTTAGGGTGCTAACACATTGGTGAGATGCCAACCTCATCAACATCACGCCCATGCTTAACTCGCAGCTCACGCTCTCTATTGGTTGTCTGCCCTTTGAAGCGATTGCATGGTCCACTATCTTGTTGTTCACCAGATCTTCTACCTTACTCTGTTGGTCTATTGGAATTTTGCCTGTCGGATTACCGGCATCGTAAACTGCATAGCAGAGATCGTTCCGGTGTCTTCTTCTGGAAATTTTAGCGTAAGATGGCGGCTCTTTTCCTTTTCCACTGTCTATCCTCTCTTTCCTCGCTTTTCGGGGCTTCTTTTGAGATACCCGTACCTTCGAGTTTGATTTCGCCGACGTGATCGTCTTCGGAATATCTATCTTGGCGTTGTCACACTTACTCGCAGGATTCTGACATGACGTTCCTTTGAGTGAAGTATGGCTTGGCTTCGACTGTGTATCAGAAGACGGGGAGCTCTTTTTCTTCTTTGGTTTATTCTCAGTTGTCAACTCTTCGGGAGACCCGATCCTCTTTGCCTCAGATCTTGTGAGAGAGTCCGATTTTTCCTTTTTCAACTTCCTCCTCCGTGCTCCAGATAGTCTTTTCTTAGTAACAGGTAGTTTAGCTATGCTATCACTCACCTGTTTCACCATTTGGTCAACTTCATCCTGAGATTTGCTATAATGGTGTTGTTATTATCATCTGAGGATTCACAGTCGGAACCCTCACCTATATTGACGCATTGTCCGCCACCCACTTCCGTAGTAGTAGTATTTTGCTCACGATTGCAGTATAATATTCCCAGGTGGTGGAGACAATCTGCCCTCCCTTAGCTTGAGTCAAACTAAAACTGTGGGAGGACAGATGGTCCATCACCACAGTAATGCTTAAACCCATTGGAATGTGGTGTCATACTACTTTCAAAATTGACAGTTCATACATATATAAATAACATTTTACTTATTAAAAAATCCAGCATTTAACACTGATGTTGATTACTTTGTAAAATGATTCCTACGGCCTTTTCAATAAAAGCGCTTTTGAGGCTTCAATATTGTTCTCAGCAGAGTTATTGTCGTGAACTAATAAAATACTTCCTTAATGGCGTTATCATCCAATTTAATTTCTTCTCTTGTGTCATCAAAATTCCAATAAAATAAATTAATAACACTAAATAATTTTTAATTTGTAAATATACATGCAGTAAATTGTTTGTATAGGATTTTTAAAAATACAAAACACTTGTAATAAATACAAAAAAACTTCAAAATTACTGAGCTAAAATTGAATGATACCGAAATAATAAAATAAAAACTTTATTCATAATTCCAAAATTCCTATAAAAATGTGTCATTCGTACTATCGAACAGAAAAATTGTGACTTTATTCGTACTATAGTGTAGACAATGCAACAATTTTGCCACTGGACATTATTGGACATTCGTAATAAAGAGCATTTGTACTATTGGACGTCCACTGTATATATCTCGAGATATATCACTTCGAAAATGAAAAACATACCCGGGTGTGTTGGTATTGACATAACGGTTAAATGTTTAAATGTCGGTTTTTTTAACACAACGGGACCAACTGAAATGGACCCATTAGTATTAACTCTGTATACTCAGTTTTTCATAATCAGCTCTTATGCCTCTGTAAAAGGACATCAAAGTTTAAGGGACATACGATTTCAAAAGACGGTATTCCAAATTTATATACAAAATTTGGTACATATTAATATTAATACCAGATAAAGCTGAGAACCTCTGTTTCAATATAATATTATTTATTTCAATTCATCATAATTAAAAAAAGTGGGAGCTTAAAGAAAATTTTTGACAAAAAAGTAGTTAAAAATTTTTGTTTCGAAAATCATCCCTTTTTTAAATTTAATATCCTTTTTGATTTTTTCTCTATGAGAGTCAAATAAATAATGTAGATAGAATGTACAGATTTCCAGCTTTCATTTGATACCAATATTGGCATCATACAACACATATACATATTCAAAATATTCGTTTGAAATTGTAAGTCCTTTAAACTTCGAAGTCCTTTTATAAGGATATAAGAGCTGATTATAAAAATCGTAGCAGAATTGCTAAAAATGAAATCTAGTTTCACATGCATATCAACTTTTCTATGTGTGAAAGCTTTTTTTCAAAATTGTTACGGGGTAATATCAAACCATTATTTTTAAACTTGTTTTTTGTTTTTTTATTTATTGGCCACCTTTGCATTCTTCATTAGCTGTTGTTGCTGTCGAAATGTGTGCAAAATTTGTTGCTTCAATCATAAGGGTTATTTTAACAAGAGCGCGTCATTTGCATCTTGATCTTTCAGCTGATACGTCGTTTTGTACGATTTTCCAACAATTTTTTATCATTAATCATGATTGCGCATGTCTCCGCCAAGCATCGAACTTTTTGAACGGGGAACACTTAATGAATTCATCTCAGTTTAGCATTTATAGCACATTCAAACAAGAATTATTAAACTCGAGACAAAAGGCCCATAACCTATTGAAAATTATTTATACGAACAAACAATTCTTGTATTCGAGTAGCCTCTTTTTTTTTAACAATAGATATTGCAATAGCCGGACGGCTCTTTCCAAAAGAGAATAAACAAACAGAAATTGGAACGAAAAGCCAACTATTCAATATCGATGAACAGACAAAATATGAAATATGCTGATAAGTTAATTTCTGATCTAAATATTTGAATAATTTTCACACACTTTTAAAAGTTACAGTTTATTTTAAATTTATTACTAGGCACTAACTTGATATTTTTTCACGTCGAAAATTTGAGTGCTAAAATCACTAAGTATACAACGCTAATTTTATGAGAAATTTTTGTTTCATAACTGGAGTAGGGTATCATATGGTCGGTCACTCCCGACTACACTTGTTTTAATCTTATTCAACGCATTTTGTTATTTATTTAAATATTTTATTATTTATTTGGTAGGTGGATAAATGCACTAGGAGAGAAGAAACCAGACAAAGTGATAATTTAAATTTATTAAAGGAAGTAAGCAGAAAATGTAATATTTCCAAAACAACAGATTTAAAAGTTCAATCACAACAGGAGTATAGCAACATCAAAAATATTGAATCAAGAAATGAACCAAAAATAGAAGGTATGTACGTAAAGTTAATCTATTTACTTAGACATCTCAATTTATGAATCCTGGAAAGGTGGAAATGAAATAGCTTTGAAAATATATACAACATATATTTTATATATACTGCAGTATATACTACGGTGGATGGAAAGTACTTTTTTCACTCATATCAACTTCTAATAAGAAAATTATGTTGTAATTTAACGTCAAATGGAAGGTTGTTAAATATTACTCAATTACATTGGTGGAAAAAATAATAGAAACGACGTTATTTTGTGATGAAAATTAAATTTTCTCAAAAACGATAGAATTTGATGACTTCCCAGAAAACAATTTTGAAGATGTTTCAGAAGAAGGGATATTTTCATGATTTCTTTAGTACGTATTGAATTTAATGCGTTTTAAATACATTCCTATATTCTAATAAATTTGTCAAAAGTGAACGCATGATAAATTGCATTCAATTCACTCATGTAACTCTATATAGTGCACCAATGATAATTCGCATGAAAATTATCGAATTGGCGAGCATGGGTTCATATTTTTCCAAATACGCTCGAATGACACGCTAATGTTAAAATCATGCATGTTTCACCTAAATATGAACCAGTTCATTATCCGTTGAACCCAGCAAAGAAATTTTGAAGTTGTTTAAGAAGAAGTTATATTTTCATGATTTCTTTAGTACGTATTCTATTTAATGCGCTTTAAATACATGCTTAAATTCTAATAAATTTGTCACAAGTGAAGGAATGAAAAATTGCACCCAATTCACTCATGTAACTCTACTATATTTCACTATAATTTGGTATGCTCTTAGGATTTAAAGGAAACGTGTATTTCATACAATAACTATTAAAAATAACATCCATTTTGTAAGATTTTTGTATTTAATATTGGTTAAAATTAGTAATATTAAGTCCATTTTAACTTCTTAACTTAAAAGGGAAAAACCTTGTTGGCTGACTGATTAACTGATGTTAAAAAATATTGGGTATTTTTATTCTGAATGAATTTTAATGTAATTCGAAATAAATTATAAATGTTTTGTTAATTTTAACGTCTTGTTTTTAAAATTTTAACACGCTAAAAAATTAGTTTAAAATTAATACGTAATACCAATAATAATGCATTTTAAAATAAATATAGTGCACCAATGAAAATTCGCTTAAGAATCATCGAATTTTCATTATATGTAAGCACTCATTTTAATGCCGAACTATTTTTCCAAATAAGAACCCATGCTCGCTAATGACACGCTAATGTTAAAACCATAAAACCATTCACCTAAATATGAACCAATTCATTATCAGTTGAACACATGAATTTACTACTTTTTTTGCTAAGGTGTAAACTTTGGAGGTCAAATTTTGTTATGTTTGGAAATTCTTATTGAAACATTTCGAAATATTAATTATTTATTGGCCATATTTATTAAAATTTTAGGATATTTAAAATAACTGTTTTATTCGATAATCTATTGACCATAAATCCACCGGTGATATTTCAAAAATTTTGTAATTTGTTTATAGCCAGGAAAATAAGGGTTTTGCTGCGGAATTTTAGATAGCTAAATGAAAATTGGCACATAGCTTCTCCTTAGCATAATTAGCAAGGTATTAAAAGTCACCGAAAATATCGTACTCTAAACGAGATATTGGAGGTCAAAAGTTACAAAAATTAGTTTTTGCCGAATATGAACCGAACTCTTCCGAATTAAGAAAGTATAAAGTGTAACAAAAAGGGTTTAAAAATTCAAATTTTCAAAATTTTACGGAACAAGTAGGTTTTAGTGACATTTCTCAAAAAAACCCCAATATAGAGCATTTTGAGACGATAAAAGATATAATTTTTTTTGTCGGCTACGCCTACTTTCGAGTGGGCGGGCTCCAAAGTTTAATACATTTTTGTGTAAAACTCGAAAATTTATACATCAAATTAAAGGTATTAAAAATACCTTTCCATTTATATATAACATGATACTAAAATATGGACCGACTTTGGGTTTTTTTTCCGAAAATATATATTTTGACCCGACTTTTTTTTCATCTAAAAGAAATCGGAAAAAAATTCTATATAATTCTATTATAAATTTCTATATGTTAATAGCCAATGAATTAAGCTTTTATTTAAGGTATCTAATTTTAATTTAATTTACATATCATCAGAGTTGTCAGATTCCCCTGATGTTTAGTAAGCTTAAAACAGGGTTGGACATTTAAAAAATATTTTTTGTTTACACGGCTTTCTTTGCTTAGTAAAGATTTCCTAAAAAGAGGCGCTTGGATTTTTCCTCTATGGTATGTCCAACACCGGCTTGCTTAATAAAGATTTCCTGAATAGGCGGCTTACGGCCGGGCGCAAGGATTTTCTCCTCTATGGTATGTCCAACACCGGCTTCGCTTATTAAAGATTTCCTAACTAGACGGCCTACGGCCGGGCGCAAGGATTTTCTCCTCTATGGTATGTCCAACACCGGCTTCGCTTAATAAAGATTTCCTAAATAGGCGGCCTACGGCCGGGCGCAAAGATTTTCTTATCTATGGTATGTCCAACACCAGCTTCGCTAATAAAGATTAGTATACATACGTTTTTTTAATAGAAAAATCATAATTAAATTATTAATATCTCAGGAACTATAATACTTACAAAAACATATTATACCTTAATAAAAAGCTCAATATCTTGGCTTTTAAACAATCTAATTTATATCCAACACCGGCTTCGCTTAATAAAGATTTCCTAAATAGCCGGCCAATGGCCGGGCGCAAAGATTTTCTTATCTATAGTATGTCCAACACCAGCTTCGCTTAATATAGCTTAGTATACATATTATACCTTAATAAAAAGCTCAAAATCTTGGCTTTTAAACAATCTAATTTATATACTTACCTATCGGGTCAAAAATTATGTTTCCCAAAATTGACCTATAATGGGTCCTTTTTTGTATATCATGTTACATATCGTTGGAAAGGTTTTTGAAATACCTTTAATTTGATAAATATATCGGTCTAAACAAATGTATGTTTTTCGAGATATAACCATAAATATTTTGAACTTTAGAGGCCCGCCTACAATAAAGTAAGCGTGGCCGACAAACAATTTTTACGTTTAGATTAATTTTGCATTCAGAGAAATCTAATTAAAATTAAGATTTTCCATTTCAATTTCGGAAAAGAACAATTGATTTTTATATTAAAACAAGTAAGAGTGCTATATTCGGCTGTGCCGAATCTTATATACCCTTCACCATAGTGTATTTAAAAAATATAAATTTTATAAAATTTAAATTTATGTACATATGTACATATTTAATTTTCCCGATTATATCATTATTATAGCAATAGCAAAACAAAATGAACAACAACAACGCTAAACGAAATAAACACTCAAAAAACAAAATACACAAGTCAGTAAAACCAACAGACATCCAAACATACGAAACGAAATACACAACGCAATGAAACCAACAGACATCAAACATACGAAACTGTACACCAACAAACAAAAACAATATACACAAGGCAATGAAACACACAGCCATCCAAACATACAAAACTGAATACACCAAGAAACAAAAACTATATACACAAGGCAATGAAACACACAGCCATCCAAACATACGAAACGAAATACTCAAAAAAAACAAAAACAAAATACACAACGCAATCAAACCAACAGACATCCAAACATACGAAACTGAATACACCAAGAAACAAAAACAATATACACATGCCAATGAAACACACAGCCATCCAAACATGTGAAACGAAATACTTACGGCTGTATTTATAAAAATTTATTTTAGCTTTATTAAACAATTTTAGGCAAAATTCAGGAAAATCGTATTTATAAACGTGAAATAGCTTAAAACATCTTCAATAAACCATTGACAATTAGAAGAATTTTATTGTAGGCTCGACCCTTCTTTAAGCCAACAATAAGTTGATTTTTAACAATTTTTTTCTCAGATAAAGATTTTTCCGGTAATTTATGTTGATTGCAAAAACTAATTATGGTCTCTTTTAAAATAAAATCTAAAAATTCTAATTTTAACGTTTACAAATTTGTAAATAAAATCCCAGAAAATTTTTAAACGATTATATTTTGAGGAAAAAACTCAAATCTAGGCATTATTGGATTAATGCATGAATATTTGACAATATTCCAATTGTCCAGCACTATGTTTAGGCAATTTGGAAGTGCCCGTCTGTCAACCAAATGATGGACAAAATCATTTGATTTGGCTTTTTCAAAGTTTGTTGGTTAAATATAATGCCATAAAGTAATTAACCATATCAAAGAAATTTATCAATATTTGCAAAAATTTATCAAAAATTACAAGGAAAATAAGTAAAAATAAGAAAATGTGTCATAGTGATGTATATGATGATGATGTCGCAAAATATCCGTTATTCGGATACTTTTAATAATAATTAGAAATTATATGTTATATTTATACATTTATTAAAGCCATATATATATATTTATTTTTCTTAAAAGTTTGTTTTTATTGTCAAAAATCTATTATAAACAAAAATATGAAATTAAGAAAACCGAATGAACGAATATTTTATCCTAATTGTACGCAACACTAACACATAAAATGACAGCCATATTGTACAGTGCTGCCAACTTAAACATAAATCAGCACAATAGTTAATATACGTTTATTATTTGTTTATGAATATCACAATTTTATTAATTGTTTTTAAGGCTAAAGTGTGATTTAACTATTGAGTGCATTAAAAGCAAAATAAGATTTTTTTATAAATACAAGCGTTAATGAATAAGCAGTGTTGTTGTTGTTGCTTATTAATCAAAACATGAAAAAATTGTCTATTTTTATGAAATTTTCAGAGGTTGTCTCGGATTTTTGCTTATATCTCCGTCATTTATGGACCGATTTTGCTGATTTTAAATAGCGATCTTCTCGAAAGCATGTCTAACAGAATTATTGAAGATTCGGATCTCGCCGATATTTGGGGTCCTCTAAAAACTGATTTCAACAGACA